TTTGCTTTTTGGCATATATAGTAATTTTTGACTAGATGTTAGACATTGTGTTTTTTACATTGTGCCTACTATATTTTGTTATATTCTGTAAAACATGTTGAACTTTGTTTAGCCACCATTTAATTTACTTGCACATCACCTGGATCCTTTTGAGAATCATTTACAAGGTTTGTTAGGGTGAGCTTAGAATAGCTTTATTTTAAACCTGGTTTAATTCTGCTATTTATGTGTCACCTTGCTAGATTTCTACTAAATGCCTAGATATTTAACAAGAACACTCCATTCTGATTGTTAAAACACAGACATCTAGCAGCCCTTTTGAGCTCAGACTTTTTAACCTTATTGTTCACTGGTCAATCTTTGGTTTGCTTCATAAAATTTAACTTTAGGCAAATAAGATTTGGTATTCAGAAACAGACTCAAGTCTGCAAATTTGTGAAGATCTTTTTGTACACAGACTATGTATACATACTTCTTTTTTGGTACTTTGTCTCTCAGTTTTTTCTGAATTTTGATTCTGTCTCAATTGTCAGAAAGACTGCCATGCTCTACTTGGTGTCCTACTTTCCATATCATGGTAAAGAATAATCTTCCCATCTCAGGATCCTTAACTTAATCAGATCTGCAAAGTTCCTTTTTCTTTATAGGGAAACACATTAAGAGGTTATATGGAGGCTCAGTGCCTGTAGCTCAAGTGGCTAGGGCCCCAGCTATATCCACCAGAGGTGATGGGTTCAAGCCCACCCCGTGCCTGCTAAACAGCAATGACAGCTATAGACAAAAAATAACAGCTGGGCATTCTGATGGGCACCTGTAGTCCTAGCTACTTGGGAGGCTGAGGCAGGAGGATCACTTAAGCTCAAAGAGTTTGAGGTTGCTGTGAGCTATGACACCATAGCACTCTACGCAGGGCAACATGGTGAGACTCTGTCTCTCAAAAAAAAAGAGGTTATATGGAGTAGAGTAGGATTATGGACACCTTCGGGGGCTATTATTCTGTCTACCACACCATTGTATAAAGAATTATTGACTATTTCCATTCTTCCTTCCTTGTCATTAAATCACTCATAATGTAACTACATGCAATGACTATCCTTAATACAAAGGTTACACATGCTCAAAAAAGGAAAAAATTTTGAATAGTAAAGAAAGACTCCTGAACTTGGGTTCTACTCCTAGATTTGTTTGTCAATAGCTATTTATCTTTGAATTTCTTTATTGTTATGAGAGAAAAATAACTAAAATAACTTAGAAGTCTTTTAGAACTCTCTCTCTTCAGCTTCATAAATGTGATATATATTGCAGTTTGATTTAAGCAGGATATGAAATGTGCTCATTGTAGAACAGACTCTTGCTTATGATCCAGAGTGTCCTGTTGGTCTTTAAAGAGGCTCAGGTCTTTGGATAAAGGAGACTTAACCTTCTGCTCTTACTACCAGAAAAGAACCATCCAAATCTAATTATATGTGAGGTAATATAACATAAAGGGAACAAAATAGGCTATTGGCAGAAGGCCCAGGAGTCAGAAAGGAAAGATGAGAAAAGAGACAAAGAACTGGCATAAGTTCAGTGCTCATGAGGGATACCTTCTAGCAATGTTTCAAGGGGCTCCAACCAAGGTGAAGGTAAAAGCCTCACCATCAAACACTTGCAAAGTCCTTCTCTGAAGTTTTGCAATGGAAAAACAGACAGACTATGACTAAGAGCCTTAGCTGTGTGTGGGAATCATTGAAATAACCTGTCAAGGGGGAAAGGTGGATTGCAACAGCTTCCACCAATGATGCTGTGGCAGTATACAAATTAGTATAGGGTGGAGGCAGAGGTTATAACCAAAGTATTGTCAGTGATCCAGGTAGTGCCTCCAGGTTACTAATCAGCATGTGGGTCTATGTGCCTAAAAGCTAGTGGGAGAAGATGTCTCCTCTGCTGGGACATTGTGGATTGCCCAGGTACCACACTGAGAAGCAGATTTTGGTTTGGCAAAAGGGCCAGAAAAATTTTCATTCTTGATTTGACCTATCACCTGAGAATTTTCAACATGTTTCTGGCTTAAAGCTGATAGTGGGTAAAAGGCTGCATGTTGAAAGAAGCAGGGAGCATGCCAGCCACACTCCATAGTGAGTGTAATGAAGAGGTCAAACTCATTTTTCTAGGGTTCTGTCAGACTGTGAGGAAATACAGACAAATAGCAATGTAAACCAGTGGATCATTAAAGATGAGAGCAGCTGTTTGGCTGGAATAATTTGAATGGCATTACTGAGGATAAATTTCCCTGTGAAATAAGAAGGAAACTTCTCATGCTCATTCTAAAGAAAGAAGGGGTTATAGACAAAGATTTTTGATGTTTAATTCTACTGTTACATTCCAGAAAAATTTCCTTACCATTCTTTTGGTAGTTATGCCGTATACGAAATCAATATGCTGTACACAATACAATGTTGAATTTCTGAAACATTTTGCTAAAATAATTTCCCTTTAGGTTGTTCTAACTTTGAGGATATGGACACTAGATCAGTAGATTATATAAATTCACTGAGAAATTTGGTAAAAAAAATTGGTAAAATCATTTGTTAGCCTGGATTGTTGTAACAGTTTTGTCAAAATGGCATGCTTGGTAGGTATGAGCAGAAATATTTATAATTTTAAATGAAAGGGAGACAATACCAGTGGCAGAAGTTAAACTTGGGATCCCAAGCAAAGAATGGATATTTGTCACCCTCAGTCAAGTGCTGTGGCATTACAGCTCACAGCAACCTCTAACTCTTGGGCTTGAGCAATTCTCTTGCCTCAGCCTCCCAAGTAGGTGGGACTACAGGCATCTGCCACAATGCTGGGCTATTTTTTGGTTGTAGTTGTCATTGTTGGCAGGCCTGGGCTGGATTCGAATCCGCCAGCTCCGGTGTATGTGGCTGGCACCCTAGCTGCTGAGCTACAGGCACCAAGCCAGAATGGATTTTCTTATGACTTATTCATGGGGGGAATAATAGACTTCTTTTGACTGATCCTACTTCATGATTGATTGTTTCTAAATTCCATTTTCAGACCAGACCAGAGTGGGGTGGAATGCATGATTGAAAGCTTCCCCAACTTATAGTCTTATGGAGAAACCAATCTTTTCTTTGCTAGAATTTGAAAATTGCACTGGGAGATTCAGGAGTTAGCAACGCAAAAGAGAGGGCATCACAAAAAAATCTGAGTTTCTAGTTGCTTTAGTAGTAGTAGCAAAAGCAAACTTCTGGTGTGGCAGTGGCAAGGGATTGGTTTGCAATACTAATTTCACCAAAATTGAGTTTACAAGGTAGCAGTGGCAGCAATGCTGGAGGTAGTGATGCTTGCCTCAAGTTCAGCACATTGTACCCCATTAATGCATTAATGTATACAGTTCCTGGCACAGTTGTACAGGCTTGTAGTGTTCAGTGGTTTTTGGTAGCCTCAGTGACTGCTTCGCTGGATGAGTTTGGCAATGTGATTTTGGGCTTTCTTTCTATCTGTGTAGCTTTAAGCCTGTTGTCCATTCCTCCTTTTGATTTTGTAAGTGGCTTAATGTTATTTTCTTTCTTTCTTTTTTTTATTACTTCTTCCTCCTGTAGTGTTTTCTTGCCCTCCATGGAGCTGGGAACACAAGGTCCAGCTGTCTCGTTGTCCTGTTGTTGTTGTAGAGACGGGGTCTCACTCTGGCTCATTTGGCTCAGGGGGGTCTTGGCTGGTCTCGAACCTCTGAGCACAGGTGATCCACCTGCCTTGGCCTCCCACAGTGCTGGGACTACAGGCATGAGCCACCATGCCCGGCCGCTTAATGTTATTTTCATGAGTTACTCTTTATTTTGATTCTGTTAGACTTTGATATTTGCTACCTGAAACCCAGATCTTGATAGATACTTCTGGGAACCTCATTGAAATACAGATTCCACAGCCTAGACATAATCATTCAGACGATCTGACACTGGGGCATAGCAATCTCAGTCAATCAAGAATTTTTTCTGTAACAAGTGACAGAAACTTCAATTCAACCCAGCCTGAGCAAAAATGAGAATGTGTTAACTCATGTAATTAAAAAGTATAGA